ACCTGGTGACAGGTGTCAGGTTGGAGACAGGTGTGTGTGTTACCTGGTGACAGGTGTCAGGTTGGAGACAGGTGTATACGTTGTGTTGCATGTCCAGCAGGTCCTGTAGGAGACTTCTCCACACAGACTCACTGACAGGGGGGGTCCTGGACACAAATATCAATATAATCAATTACTTAACCAATCAGTCAATATCTTCATCTGTAGTAGACCTCTCCACACAGACTTCCCTGACAGGGAGGTCCTGGAGCAATACGTTAATCAATCAGTTCATCAATCAATAGATCAATCAATCAATCAACCAATCAATAGATCAATCAGACAGACACATACAGTGAAATCATGACTGCTAAGGAAAAGGACCAACGGTATGTTTGTGTGTGTCCTACCTACGCCCGGTGTGTCTGCAGAGTTTCACCATGAGAGCATGTGCTTCTTCTGTACAGGTCTGGCTGCTCCTCACATAGGATATAGGCTTCTGAAGACCATGCTTCTCCAACACCTCCACTACACTGGGGGGAGGGAAGGGGGAGGGGGAGAGAGGGAGGAGGGGAGGGGGGAGGGAGGGAGGGAGGGAGGAGGGAGGGATGGGGGAGGGAGGAGGGAGGGAGGGAGGGAGGGAGGGAGGGAGGGAGGGAGGAGGGAGGGAGGGAGGGAGAGGAGGGATGGGGGAGGGAGGGAGGGAGGGAGGGGAGGGAGGGGAGGGAGGGAGGGAGGGGAGGGAGGGAGGGAGGGAGGGAGGGGAGGGAGGGAGGGCGGGGGAGGGAGGGAGGGAGGGAGGGAGGGAGGGAGGGAGGGGAGGGAGGGAGGAGGGGGGAGGGAGGGAGGGAGGGGAGGGGAGGGAGGGAGGGAGGGAGGGGAGGGAGGAGGGAGGGAGGGGAGGGATGGGGAGGGAGGGAGGGAGGGAGGGAGGGGAGGGAGGGAGGGGAGGGAGGGAGGGAGGGAGGGAGGGAGGGAGGGAGGGAGGGAGGGAGGGGAGGGAGGGAGGGAGGGAGGGAGGGAGGGAGGGAGGGAGGGAGGGAGGGATGGGAGGGAGGGAGGGAGGGAGGAGGGAGGGAGGGCAGGGAGGGGGGGGGAGGAGGGGTAGGGAATGGGGGGGATGGGTGAGGAGGAGGGAGGGAGGGGAAGGGGGGAGGGGAGGGTTCGGAATGGGGGAGGGAGGAGGGAGGGAGGGAGGGGGGGAGATAAGGAGGGAGGATTAACATAGCAGCAGTCTCATCAGGGTCACACCTCTACAGATGTTCTCTCTCTGCCAGACCTCATTACCATAGTAAACAGGTGCTGTGTGAGAGACGGCGTAGGATTTATACGACAGAGAGCGGAGCGGCGGCAGGATAACAAGGTTTATTCAGGAGCACACACACATTTACACCCCTTTCATCCCTGGGTGGGTGTGTGTGTGTGTGTGTGTGTGTGCGTGTGCGTGCGTGTGCGTGTGAGTGTGTGTGTGTGTGTGTGTGAGAGTGTGTGTGTGTGCGTGTGAGAGTGTGTGTGTGTGTGTGCGTGCGTGCGTGCGTATGTGTATGTGTGTGTGTGTGTGTGTGTGGGGGGGGGGGGGATTACTCAGGGTGCTTTCACGTATCTGGATCCTGGAGCGTTTCATACTCTGATCTTACAGCATGTGTCAAGCCCTGACTGAAAGAAATCCTGGACCTGTGTGAGTAGCGGGTCCAAGCCCCAGGACCACAGTGACAGGTATAGGGAGGAACCTGTGTGAGGAGCGGGTCCAAGCCCCAGGACCACAGTGACAGGTATAGGGAGGAACCTGTGTGAGTAGCGGGTCCAAGCCCCAGGACCACAGTGACAGTTATAGGGAGGACAACACAGCACTAGTTGCTCGTTGTAAACAAGCCAGCCCACCCTGAAACCACTATATTCAGCTCTGGTGAAAGCAAAACCTATTCTGGAAACCCAACCAGGGCTTGAACCCTCACATCCCATTGACTGATGCAGAACCAGGAATACAGTTTACAATACGTGACTAAACAAGTAGTCATTGTGTAGTCATTGGACCATCTAAACCGCTGAGAAATACATTTTCCATAATCAAAATGATTTTATTGTCATCTGTTTGAAGCTGGTGTACAAAACCAAAAGTAAGACGTAACAAACGAAACTTAAGAACGGGAAGCCTAGAAATAGTGCAGATAGAACAGACCAACCAGGCATAAAGCAACATGCTGCTTGTAAGGTTCATGTAAATCCTGTTCATTAATGTTAACCATCTTTTTCTTTATTCATTTCAGCCCGACTAGCCAAAATCTAACACAGACTCTAACCATAAACCACATTTTAACCAATTCAGAAATCTAAATCTAAAACTAACCATAAACCACATTTGAACAAATTCAGAAATATAAATTAATACTGACTCTAACCAAGAAATACTGGTTTGCCATAGTTTTTACCGTCAGGCAATAGGTTCACAGGTGTGTTAGTGTTACCTGAGGTGTGTGTGTGTGTTACCTGAGGTGTTTTTCCAGTTTGTCCACCTGATCGTGGAGAGATGCGGTGATGTGCGTCTCAGGTCTAAAGGAAAACAGACAGAGACTTAGGGTACGTTCCTATAGGCTCTGGGCAAACAGTGCACTATACACTCTCTCCCCCATCTCTCTCTCTCTCTCTCTCTCTCTCTCTCTCTCTCTCTCTCTCTCCTCTCCTCTTCTCTCTATCTCTCTCTCTCCTCTCTCTCTCTCTTGATGAGAAGGAGGCGGAGTTTGTGTCTCACCCGTAGCCCCTCTGAGGAAGACATTCCAGGATGTCGTAACAGAGGGCGAGCTGATCATCTCTCTCACAGCCGTAGATACACTCCAACGCTACAGTCATCAACTGGTCTGGGTCCCCAAGCACCTTTTGCTGGCTCTGACAGGACCACACACCATCATCATCATCATCAGCCATTTCTTTGTAATGATTCTAGCTCTGTTTTGATAAGTAAGACGTGTGCAAAGCTGTCATCAAGGCAAAGGGTGGCTACTTTGAAAAATCTCAAATATAAAATATATCTTGACTTGTTTAACACTTTTTTGGTTACTACATGATTCCATATGTGTTATTTCATAGTTTTGATGTCTTCACTATTATTCTACAATGTAGAAAATAGTGAAAAACACTGGAATGAGTAGGTGTTCTAAACTTTTGACCGGTAGTGTACATATATATATATTATTTACCTCCGCGGCCGACCGGTTGAATACCCCTGCCCTCTAGGGTACTAACCATAACCCTCTAGGGTACTAACCATAACCCTCTAGGGCACTAACCATAACCCTCTAGGGCACTAACCATAACCCTCTAGGGCACTAACCATAACCCTCTAGGGCACTAACCATAACCCTCTAGGGCACTAACCATAACCCTCTAGGGCACTAACCATAACCCTCTAGGGCACTAACCATAACCCTCTAGGGCACTAACCATAACCCTCTAGGGTACTAACCATAACCCTCTAGGGCACTAACCATAACCCTCTAGGGCACTAACCATAACCCTCTAGGGTACTAACCATAACCCTCTAGGGTACTAACCATAACACTCTAGGGCACTAACCATAACCCTCTAGGGTACTGCTATGGACGACAGGTCTCTGAGTGTTGTGTGTGTACACTAACGTCAGGTTTGGAGTGCTGGAAGACGGCCAGAGGTAGAGAGAGGTCTTGCAGAGAGAGGGTCACCAGGTGTTCTCTCAGCAGGGCCTCACTAGCGCCACAGCTCTGTTTCTCACAGCGATGCAGGAAGGGAACCATCCACTGGAACACATCTTTAACATAGCGCTCTGCACTGGACTGGAAGGGGGAAGGCAAAGACAGATGCACAGCACAGGTAGTCAGTGGCTGAGTCACAAATAGCTCCCTATTCCCTTAATAGTGCACTACTTTAGACCAGAGCTCTATGGGCCTATGGGCCCTGGTCAGAAGTAGTGCACTACATGCTCTTGTGTAGATCTGAGAGGACTGGGGAAGGATGGAAGTGTCTAGGGGCTAGAGGTGGATTTGGGTGTCAGGAGTTGGGGAGATGAAAGCCATCTAGAAGACTCCTACTCAAAGACTTGGTACACAGAGGTACAATCACACACACACACACACACACACACACACACACACACACACACACACACACACACACACACACACACACACGGCATGTACGTACGTTCTTCATGAGGAGGCGGAGCTTGTCGATGTCACTGAGATGCTGCAAGTCCCTTAGTGTCAGGCTGAGCTCGCACGCCGTTTCGTACACCAACGTCTCCAAGGTTACCAGGTCATCACACAGCCGCTCCAACCCCGGGATATCCCGCTCCTTCCCCAGACGCACCAATGACAGTGCACAGTCCACCTGACGGACAGACAGGACATCCAATCAGAGAACAGAACACCTGCATGGCCATTAAGTTGCTCAAAGGGGAGGTAGGGAGGGGGGGAGGTAGGGAAGGGGGAGGTAGGGGGGTGTGGAGGGGGGTAGGGGGGTTGTGGAGGAGGGGGTAGGGAGGGTGGGGAGGTAGGGAGGTGTGGAGGAGGGAGGTAGGGAAGGGGGAGGTAGGGAGGTGTGGAGGAGGGGGGTAGGGAGGGGTTTGGGGGAGGGGTAGGGAGGGGAGGGAGGGGGGAGTGGAGGGGGGAGGAGGGAGGTGTGGAGGGGGGGTTGGAGGGGAGGAGGGGGGTGTGGAGGGGGGAAGGTAGGGAGGATGTTGGAGGGGGGGAGGTAGGGAGGGAGGTTGTGGAGGGGGGTTGGTAGGGAGGTGTGGAGGGGGGAGGTAGGAGGTTTTGGAGGGGGTGTGGAAGGGAGGTGTGGAGGGGGTAGGGAGGTGGTGGGAGGGGAAGGAGGTGGGGAGGTTTTGGAGGGGGGAGGTGGTGTTAGGGGGGTTTTTGTGGAGTGGAGGGGGTGGGTGTGGAGGGTGGAGGTAGGAGGTGGAGGGGGGGGGGGGAGGTTGGGGGGTAGGAGGTTTTTGGGAGTGGGGGGGGGGCATGGTCTTTGTGGCGTGGAGGGGGGGGTCGGGAGGTTTGAGGGGGTGGGAAGGGATTTTGGTTAGGGGTTTTAGGGAGTTGGGTGGGGGGTGGAGGAGGTAGGGAGGTAGGTAGGGAGGTGTGGCGGGGGGAGGTAGGAGGTAGGGAGGTGTGGAGGGGGAGAGGTTTAGGAGTGTGGGTGGAGGGGGGAGGTAGGGGGGGAGGTGGGAGATGTGGGAAGGTGGAGGTGGGAGTAGGGGGAGTGTGGAGGGGGGAGGTTAGGGAGGTAGGGGGTGTGGACGGGGGAGGTAGGGCGGGTGTGGAGTGGAGGGGGGAGGTAGGGAGATGTGGAGGGTGGAAGGTAGGAGGTGTGGAGGGGGAGGTAGGGAGGTGTGGAGGGGGGGGGTAGGGAAGGTGTGGAGGGGGTGTGGGTAGGGAAGGGTGGAGGGGGGGGTAGGGAGGTGTGGAGGGGGTAGGGAGGTAGGGGGTGGGGGTACCGTAGTAATGCATGAAGAGAGAGACGCCCACCAATTAAAACAGGATGAGGGAGAGAGCTCATTGCTCGGCAGAAGAACAAAGAAACTGATTTTATCAGGAATCACATTGCGATCCCCCTCCACTCAGAGAAAGGAGGGCTGGAGGAGGAGAGGAAGCAGAGAGAGGAGGAGGAGGAGAGGAAGCAGAGAGAGGAGGAGAGGAAGCAGAGAGAGGAGGAAAAGGTAGACAGGATACTAGCCACATCTTCCTCCTCTCAGACTCTCTCCTCCATCTGGAAGAAATAAAGCGATAGAGTTGTCAAGAGGAGAGGAGAGTGCATCCCCCTCTGCTCTCCTCCTTCAGAGGACTAGATCCATCACTCTAGAGGAGAGGCAGAACACTTTCTATGCATCCCCTGGTCAAAAGTAGTGCACTAGGAAGGAAAAAGGGTTCCATTTGGGAGGCATCCTTTATGTTGTGGATAAAGAGAGGCCACCACAGTCTGATACTAAAGAGAGAGAGGAGAGAAGTTCAACACTACACAGCTATCAGACAGGACTGGTACAACACTACACAGCTGTCAGACAGGACTGGTTCAACACTACACAGCTATCAGACAGGACTGGTACAACACTACACAGCTATCAGACAGGACTGGTACTACACTACACAGCTATCAGACAGGACTGGTACAACACTACACAGCTATCAGACAGGACTGGTACAACACTACACAGCTATCAGACAGGACTGGTACAACACTACACAGCTATCAGACAGGACTGGTACAACACTACACAGCTATCAGACAGGACTGGTTACAACACTACACAGCTATCAGACAGGACTGGTACAACACTACACAGCTATCAGACAGGACTGGTACAACACTACACAGCTATCAGACAGGACTGGTACAACACTACACAGCTATCAGACAGGACTGGTACAACACTACACAGCTATCAGACAGGACTGGTACAACACTACACAGCTATGACTGGTACAACACTACACAGCTGTCAGACAGGACTGGTACAACACTACACAGCTATCAGACAGGACTGGTACAACACTACACAGCTATCAGACAGGACTGGTACAACACTACACAGCTATCAGACAGGACTGGTACAACACTACACTACACAGCTATCAGACAGGACTGGTATAACACTACACAGCTATCAGACAGGACTGGTACAACACTACACAGCTATCAGACAGGTCTGGTACAACACTACACAGCTGTCAGACAGGACTGGTACAACACTACACAGCTATCAGACAGGACTGGTACAACACTACACAGCTGTCAGACAGGTCTGGTACAACACTACACAGCTATCAGACAGGACTGGTACAACACTACACAGCTATCAGACAGGACTGGTAAAACACTACACAGCTATCAGACAGGACTGGTACAACACTACACAGCTATCAGACAGGACTGGTAAAACACTACACAGCTGTCAGACAGGACTGGTACAACACTACACAGCTGTCAGACAGGACTGGTACAACACTACACAGCTGTCAGACAGGACTGGTACAACACTACACAGCTGTCAGACAGGACTGGTACAACACTACACAGCTATCAGACAGGACTGGTACAATACTACACAGCTATCAGACAGGACTGGTACAACACTACACAGCTATCAGACAGGACTGGTACAACACTACACAGCTGTCAGACAGGACTGGTAAAACACGACACAGCTATCAGACAGGACTGGTACAACACTATACAGCTATCAGACAGGACTGGTACAACACTACACAGCTGTCAGACAGGACTGGTACAACACTACACAGCTATCAGACAGGACTGGTACAACACTACACTACACAGCTATCAGACAGGACTGGTACAACACTACACAGCTATCAGACAGGACTGGTACAACACACTACACAGCTGTCAGACAGGACTGGTACAACACTACACAGCTGTCAGACAGGACTGGTACAACACTACACAGCTATCAGACAGGACTGGTACAACACTACACAGCTATCAGACAGGACTGGTACAACACTACACAGCTGTCAGACAGGACTGGTAAAACACGACACAGCTATCAGACAGGACTGGTACAACACTATACAGCTATCAGACAGGACTGGTACAACACTACACAGCTATCAGACAGGACTGGTACAACACTACACAGCTATCAGACAGGACTGGTACAACACTACACTACACAGCTATCAGACAGGACTGGTACAACACTACACAGCTATCAGACAGGACTGGTACAACACACTACACAGCTGTCAGACAGGACTGGTACAACACTACACAGCTGTCAGACAGGACTGGTACAACACTACACAGCTATCAGACAGGACTGGTACAACACTACACAGCTATCAGACAGGACTGGTACAACACTACACAGCTATCAGACAGGTCTGGTACAACACTACACAGCTGTCAGACAGGACTGGTACAACACTACACAGCTATCAGACAGGACTGGTACAACACTACACAGCTGTCAGACAGGTCTGGTACAACACTACACAGCTATCAGACAGGACTGGTACAACACTACACAGCTATCAGACAGGACTGGTAAAACACTACACAGCTATCAGACAGGACTGGTACAACACTACACAGCTATCAGACAGGACTGGTAAAACACTACACAGCTGTCAGACAGGACTGGTACAACACTACACAGCTGTCAGACAGGACTGGTACAACACTACACAGCTGTCAGACAGGACTGGTACAACACTACACAGCTGTCAGACAGGACTGGTACAACACTACACAGCTATCAGACAGGACTGGTACAATACTACACAGCTATCAGACAGGACTGGTACAACACTACACAGCTATCAGACAGGACTGGTACAACACTACACAGCTGTCAGACAGGACTGGTACAACACTACACAGCTGTCAGACAGGACTGGTACAACACTACACAGCTGTCAGACAGGACTGGTACAACACTACACAGCTGTCAGACAGGACTGGTAAAACACTACACAGCTATCAGACAGGACTGGTACAACACTACACAGCTATCAGACAGGACTGGTACAACACTACACAGCTATCAGACAGGACTGGTTCAACACTACACAGCTGTCAGACAGGACTGGTACAACACTACACAGCTATCAGACAGGTCTGGTACAACACTACACAGCTGTCAGACAGGACTGGTACAACACTACACAGCTGTCAGACAGGACTGGTACAACACTACACAGCTGTCAGACAGGACTGGTACAACACTACACAGCTGTCAGACAGGACTGGTACAACACTACACAGCTGTCAGACAGGACTGGTACAACACTAAACAGCTGTCAGACAGGACTGGTACAACACTACACAGCTATCAGACAGGACTGGTACAACACTACACAGCTATCAGACAGGACTAGTACAACACTACACAGCTGTCAGACAGGACTGGTACAACACTACACAGCTATCAGACAGGACTAGTACAACACTACACAGCTATCAGACAGGACTGGTACAACACTAAACAGCTGTCAGACAGGACTGGTACAACAACCCACAAGACAGACAGCCTCAAAGGCACTGATATGTTGCACTACACTAGGATGAGGGGTCCAGAGGACGTGTGCGACAGTAATTCATTTCCCCTGGTTCTTATTGCAGGCAGTGTGTGTGACAGTAAAACCCTTCCCCCAAGCACGGCGGAATAGTACCTGTCTAGAGCAGGAGTCTATGTCCTGGGCACGACTCAGGTACCAGTCAGTCAGCAGGTCCATAGGGGGCGTGGCCGTACGGAACCGCAGCCAATCAGGAGCATCCTCATACAGGAAGTGGGCATTGTCTGGGAGATTTTGATCCAATACCATCCTGGGAGAGGAGGAACAGAAATAATAACAGAGTTGTGGGTACTTCTGATTGATGGATAGATTAATAATATCACTCTGACTTTCTGGTCATTGGCCAAGGCCACAGTGATGTCATAGTGATGCATGTGTCCTACCTGCACTGGTCCTCTTCACACCAGTCCATCTCTCTGTGTCTCTGTTCATCCCAGGGGATCACCCCCAGACGGCCTCTCTCATCCACACTGGGGGGAGAGAAAGAGAGAGAGAGATAGTTTGTTAACATTATCATTGAAGCTTACCAGAGAACCTTGATAATACCCACTACAGTAGATCATCCTGATAATACCCACTACAGTAGATCATCCTGATAATACCCACTACAGTAGATCATCCTGATAATACCCGCTTTAGTAGATCATCCTGATAATACCCACTACAGTAGATCATCCTGATAATACCCACTACAGTAGATCATCCTGATAATACCAACTACAGTAGATCATCCTGATAATACCCACTACAGTAGATCATCCTGATAATACCCACTACAGTAGATCATCCTGATAATACCCACTACAGTAGATCATCCTGATAATACCCACTACAGTAGATCATCCTGATAATACCCACTACAGTAGATCATCCTGATAATACCCACTACAGTAGATCATCCTGATAATACCCACTACAGTAGATCATCCTGATAATACCCACTACAGTAGATCATCCTGATAATACCCACTACAGTAGATCATCCTGATAATACCCAACTACAGTAGATCATCCTGATAATACCCACTACAGTAGATCATCCTGATAATACCCACTACAGTAGATCATCCTGATAATACCCACTACAGTAGATCATCCTGATAATACCCACTACAGTAGATCATCCTGATAATACCCAACTACAGTAGATCATCTGATAATACCACTACAGTAGATATCTGATATACACCAACAGTAGATCATCGAAACCACTACAGTAGACATCTGATAATACCATACAGTAGATCATCCTGATAATACCACTACAGAGATCACGATAAACCACACTACAGTAGATATCCGATAACAAACAGCAGTAGATACAACATGTAATACCATACAGAAACATCTAGAGTAAACCAACAAGTAGACACAGATAAACACAGAGTAGAACAGAACCAGTGTAAGAGACACAACAGAACAGAACAGTAACAGACAGAACAACAAACAGAGTAGAACAGAACAAGAGTAGAACAGAACAGAACAGTAAACAGACAACAGAGTAGAACAGAGCAAGAACAGAGTAGAACAAACAGAACAGAGTAGACAGAACAGAGTAGAACAGACAGAAGAGCAGAACAGAACAGAGTAGACAGAACAGAAACAGAGTAGAACAGAGTAGAACAGAACAGAGTAGAGAACAGAACAGAACAGAGTAGAACAGAACAGAACAGAGTAGAACAGAACAAACAGAGTAGACAGAACAGAACAGAGTAGAACAGAACAGAGTAGAGAACAGAAACAGAACAGAGTAGAACAGAACAGAACAGAGTAGAACAGAACAGAACAGAGTAGAACAGAACAGAGTAGAACAAACAGAGTAGAGAACAGATAACAGAACAGAAGATAGAACAGAACAGGTAGAGAGAAAGAACAGAACAGAGTAGAACAGAACAGAACAGAACAGAGTAGACAGAACAGAAAGAAGACAGAACGACAGAGTAGAACAGAACAGAACAGATAGACAGAACAGAACAGAAACAGAACAGAGTAGAACAGAACAGAGTAGAACAGAACAGCATGCTAACATCAGCCTTCAGTGGTAATAGCTTAGTATAAATCAGAGAAAACTACAGCTGCCTCGAAACAGAAAAAACTCAGCTAGGAAGCAATAGATTTTGTCCTCAATGGCACCCTATTCGCACTATGGGCCCTGGTCAAAAGTAGTGCACTATATAGGGAATATGGTGCCATTCTCTGGTCTAAAGTAGTGCACTATATAGGGAATAGGGTGCCATTTTCTGGTCTAAAGTAGTGCACTATATAGGGAATAGGGTGCCATTATCTAGTCTAAAGTAGTGCACTATATAGGGAATAGGGTGCCATTCTCTGGTCTAAAGTAGTGCCCTATATAGGGAAAAGGGTGCCATTCTCTGGTCTAAAGTAGTGCACTATATAGGGAATAGGGTACCATTCTCTGGTGTAAAGTAGTGCACTATATAGGGAATAGGGTGCCATTCTCTGGTCTAAAGTAGTGCACTATATAGGGAATAGGGTGTCATTCTCTGGTCTAAAGTAGTGCACTATATAGGGAATAGGGTGCCATTCTCTGGTCTAAAGTAGTGCACTATATAGGGAATAGGGTGTCATTCTCTGGTCTAAAGTAGTGCACTATATAGGGAATAGGGTGTCATTCTCTGGTCTAAAGTAGTGCACTATATAGGGAATAGGGTGCCATTCTCTGGTCTAAAGTAGTGTACTATATAGGAAATAGGGGGCCATTCTCTGGTCTAAAGTAGTGTACTATATAGGAAATAGGGGGCCATTCTCTGGTCTAAAGTAGTGCACTATATAGGGAATAGGGTGCCATTCTCTGGTCTAAAGTAGTGCACTATATAGGGAATAGGGTGCCATTTGGGACGCACACAGCCAAACAATAAATATCAACAACATTTTTACTTTCTAAAAGGGGAATGTGTGTGGGATATAAATAAGACTTATTCTCTAAAAGCTGCATGCGTCGGTCGGCGCGAGGCTACAACTCTCTCCCCCCCTCCTTAAGGCTGACACGTCTGAGACAGTTCATCACTCAACACATAGTAGTGATGTTTATCACAACACATAGTACTGATGTTTATCACAACACATAGTACTGATGTTTATCACAACACATAGTAGTGATGTTTATCACAACACACAGAAGTGATGTTTATCACAACACACAGTAGTGATGTTTATCACAACACACAGTAGTGATGTTTATCACAACACACAGTAGTGATGTTTATCACAACACACAGTAGTGATGTTTATCACAACACACATTAGTGATGTTTATCACAACACACAGTAGTGATGTTTATCACAACACACAGTAGTGATGTTTATCACTCAACACATAGTAGTGATGTTTATCACAACACACAGTAGTGATGTTTATCACAACACATAGTAGTGATGTTTATCACAACACATAGTAGTGATGTTTATTATACAACACATAGTAGTGATGTTTATTATACAACACATAGTAGTGATGTTTATCACAACACACAGTAGTGATGTTTATCACAACACATAGTAGTGATGTTTATCACAACACATAGTAGTGATGTTTATTATACAACACATAGTAGTGATGTTTACCACAACACATAGTAGTGATGTTTATCATTCAACACATAGTAGTGATGTTTATCACAACACACAGTAGTGATGTTTATCACAACACATAGTAGTGATGTTTATCACAACACACAGTAGTGATGTTTATCACAACACATAGTAGTGATGTTTATCATACAACACATAGTAGTGATGTTTATCATACAACACATAGTAGTGATGTTTATCATACAACACATAGTAGTGATGTTTATCATACAACACATAGTAGTGATGTTTATCACAACACATAGTAGTGATGTTTATTATACAACACATAGTAGTGATGTTTATCACAACACATAGTAGTGATGTTTATTATACAACACATAGTAGTGATGTTTATCACAACACATAGTAGTGATGTTTATTATACAACACATAGTAGTGATGTTTATCACAACACATAGTAGTGATGTTTATCATACAACACATAGTAGTGATGTTTATCATACAACACATAGTAGTGATGTTTATCACAACACATAGTAGTGGTGTTTATCACAACACATAGTACTGATGTTTATTATACAACACATAGTAGTGATGTTTATCACAACACATAGTAGTGATGTTTATCAAAACACATAGTAGTGGTGTTTATCACAACACATAGTAGTGATGTTTATTATACAACACATAGTAGTGATATTTATCACAACACATAGTAGTGATGTTTATTATACAACACATAGTAGTGATGTTTATCACAACACATAGTAGTGATGTTTATTATACAACACATAGTAGTGATGTTTATCACTCAACACACAGTAGTGATGTTTATCACAACACACAGTAGTGATGTTTATCACAACACACAGTAGTGATGTTTATCACAACACACAGTAGTGATGTTTATCACAACACATAGTAGTGATGTTTATCACAACACACAGTAGTGATGTTTATCACTCAACACACAGTAGTGATGTTTATCACAACACACAGTAGTGATGTTTATCACAACACATAGTAGTGATGTTTATCACAACACACAGTAGTGATGTTTATCACAACACACAGTAGTGATGTTTATCACAACACACAGTAGTGATGTTTATCACTCAACACATAGTAGTGATGTTTATCACAACACACAGTAGTGATGTTTATCACAACACACAGTAGTGATGTTTATCACAACACACAGTAGTGATGTTTATCACAACACACAGTAGTGATGTTTATCACAACACACAGTAGTGATGTTTATCACAACACACAGTAGTGATGTTTATCACAACACATAGTAGTGATGTTTATCACAACACACAGTAGTGATGTTTATCACAACACATAGTAGTGATGTTTATTATACAACACATAGTAGTGATGTTTATCACAACACACAGTAGTGATGTTTATCACAACACATAGTAGTGATGTTTATCACAACACATAGTAGTGATGTTTATTATACAACACATAGTAGTGATGTTTACCACAACACATAGTAGTGATGTTTATCATTCAACACACAGTAGTGATGTTTATCACAACACACAGTAGTGATGTTTATCACAACACACAGTAGTGATGTTTATCACAACACATAGTAGTGATGTTTATCACAACACATAGTAGTGATGTTTATCATATAACACATAGTAGTGATGTTTATCATACAACACATAGTAGTGATGTTTATCACAACACATAGTAGTGATGTTTATCATACAACACATAGTAGTGATGTTTATCACAACACATAGTAGTGATGTTTATCATACAACACATAGTAGTGATGTTTATCATACAACACATAGTAGTGATGTTTATCACAACACATAGTAGTGATGTTTATCATACAACACATAGTAGTGATGTTTATCATACAACACATAGTAGTGATGTTTATCACAAC